CTCGGAGGCAGCGTCGAGAGAAACGCAGACGACTGGGGGGAAACCGCGATGGGATCCACAGCCGTATGCCATCATCCGTCTGAGAGCGGTAGAGTGTAGCGAATATCTGGGAGATTTATTTATCGAGTCAGAAAAAATTCGAGAAGAGAAGCTAGTCGAGCGACAGCGCTGCTGCGGCTGCTGTGGGTCGGGCATCCCCACTACGGGCCACTATAGTGGTGGTGGAGGCGCCGATGTCACTGTTCGGAGTTGAAAGAATTACCGCTTACCGACCCATAGAGGAAAACACCGCACTGTACACAAACACCAATATTCCTCACTGCTCAATATTCAACCCACCTGTACCGCTCGGACGCCGTCTAAGACGTAAAATTTTCAAAAAACTTCAACATTCCACAGAGCGCTCGAACAGGCCACTGTTTACAATGATACGCTGATCTCTGCTGGTGGACGAAACTTGTCGGCGAGGGTACCGCGGCGCTGCCTGCGCAACTGACTGAGCGTCGAATGCTTCTTATGCCACGGCGGTTGCTCACGGCATGACGACGTTCAACGAACCGAGCGGCCGCCATCCACTAGGCTAGCTTGCCTGCGGACTAGCCAGGTTATGGTGATAGTGGATGCCGACCACCTAAGACAGCGGCGATGGCGGCGCGGTGCGCGGAGTTTCTTTTCGCGTTATCCGTCCGTCTGTCTTTCTCCTCAGTACTCACTAGTCCGTAGGGCTGTGCATGAGCCGCTCTAGTCGTCATCGTAGCCACCGTCACCGCCTTATGCCTCTTCGACTTTTTTCCGTTCGGCTTTGTTACGCCCATGGTGGTTGTCGAGGATTCTGTTCTTGTCATCGCATCGCTGCACTACTCCCGCTCTCTTCGTCATAATTTGCCAAGACTTTGTCGACAATAAGGATTCGATCCGAAACTCTCCCAACCTCTCTTCACGATATGCGCATTCCCAAGCGACTTTGGGACGCTTTCCCCACCCAATTATTCCGGGTTCTGGAACCCTTGTTGCGGAAACGAACAGGGGCAGAGTCTCCCGGAAACTCTGCAATCCTCAGCTCAGAGGGGAAAACAGCAGCAGTTCCGCTCGGATTCGAATCCCGAGCTCTGCGCTGAATGTATATTTTCGCTCCTCCGATCTTCCGAACACTCAAGGGGGAAATGGAGATTAGGTCGACCACTCCTGTAGCTGTGATATTCGCGCTTCTCTTCCTCTTCTGAAAAGAAAGGAGGATGCGAGGTACAAACGACGAGAATCTCGCGTACCAACGTCACAATTTTCAAAACAGTGTAGCAGAATAAGCACATCGTGGAGCCCGATTCGATTCAATATGCGTACATCAGCGCATGAGTTCGGGTCTGCATATTCCTCAAAGTGAGGAATATTATTTCGTCCGGCCGTTGGGGCGCACAACAGCAGTATAGACTTTCTGTAAGAGTTACAGCTAGATCGGCGGATATAAGCCATAATTTCCCAGCAACTGTTCTCGGTAGACAGCGGGGAGGGGCGCTGTTCCATCCCAAGGGTCGACGGAGGACGCAGCTGAATGTTCTCGTGCGGAACACTCACTGTGCCGCTCAGCCAAGTTCGTTATTCGGCTATAGGTCTGTACTGATGAGGAAGAGCTCAACACTCCAGAGCGCCACCGCCACCTTGCATGCCTGTATGTACAGATTCATACATCGCGGTATTCTTCATTCGCGATTATATGCGATGTGGCTCGGTTGACTCCGTCACTCCACAGAGAGGGTTTCCATCTACGTTCCGAGGAAACGCATGTCAAAAGCTATGTTCCAGGGAAAATGTATCAGCACCTTCAGCGGCCAGGGAAGTATAATCGTTGATGATCTCTGGAGTTCCATGCTCCCATCTCAATTGTCGCAGGGGGAGAAATCGATCAGGAATTACAGTTGGAGAAGGAGCCCCGGTTTCCAATCCTCGTGCCAGCAGCTTGGTCTTCGTCGTCGCACTCGCGAGGAAACGGGATGCGACATCCTGGCTCATGGGATTGGGTGGAACATATGATTTGAGGGAGCTCGATGAGTCTTCGAGCCTTTCGAGGCAGGAGCGTGCGCTAGGGGACTACCCGTCTAAGATACCGGTTATTCGATCGAAATCGTTCTCTCAAAGCTCTTTTAAGGTCGGTGACTCCGTGTCGATATGAGGAGTCATATCGCTTGTACTGTGGATGAAGTCCAAAAATAAGCCAAGCCATTCCATCGAGCATCATTGATACCTACAGAATTCACTGTGTTCAGGTCTCCCTGCCACAAGAGAGAGGGGGGGATCGAAATTTTTCTGGACCGCCGACGCCCATTGGATCATGACTTCCGCTGAATCGACTCATACTGAGGATCCTGTGGAGAACTATCAGGAGCTTTGCAGTAAAACTCGAGCTATCGTGCTCTTGGCAGGGTAAGCAGGGCGCAGATCTTCGAAGCCCAGAGCCCATGAATATGCCCATCAGAGAGGTAGGATCGTCGGAAAGACAGTTATGCCTCCAAGGAAATAGTAAAGCGTCCCCCTCCCACAAACATCCCCAGCGATTCTTACCCTTCCCACAGCAGTCATCGCATGATCTCGATCTTCAGGCAACTCCACTCGATTCTCGGGAATTCCTCCGACGTCGTCCTTCTTTCGAGTTCCGACCTTTACCGTCGGAATACAGCCTCGGAGTCAATATCCACACAGGAGAGCTAGAGACCCCGGAATCGAGTTGTCCCTGCTCGCGTAGGCGATCCCGGTACCTTTCTCGGGGAAGAGGGGGGAGGGGAAGGTTTAGGAGCGAATCTGGCTTTGGGGGAATCAAGTCATCGGAATTGTCGCGGCTTCCGATTAGGTCTGCGCTAGAAGCAGTGATGGAGGAAAACTAAGGAGTAGTGCTTCCCGTATTCACTCTGAATGAGTGATTTCTCTCTGTCTATGGAGCAAAATATTAACTTAGTCTTCACTATCCGTTGATCACAACCAGATCCAATTAAGCTCCGTGAGGGTTTGATTTGATGAAAGTAGCTCCTGCTTCCGGACAACTGTTCTCATACCAATATAGAATCGCAATATCTGTCGTACCCCGAGCCGAATTTCGGCGCTTTCCTTTCCCGAAATGACTTTAATCTTTCTTCAATCGATGCCCAATCACTTCAGTGAGGTCAAGGTATACTTTTCAAGCTGCTCAGACGCATGCTCTCCGCGAGATTTACGCGTTGCTCCAATCATCCCATTTTTGTTGAACAAATGTAAAGCCTTCCGACTATAATGTCTGCAAGGCTCCACTGGCACGGGGGGCGCGAGGCCCCCCACGACTCTAGAGACAAAAATCCCGAGCAATGGGCAAAATAAGATTCGGCTTCCGGCTCCGAGCTAAATGCAACTCACATGATGTTCTACTCAAGCGGACATGTCGTCCTTGTTCATGTTCGTCCTTGAAATCGATCCTCAATGAAACTACGAACCAATGCAGAAGCGAGTCGGCGCTAATTCTAGCCTCGTCATGGTTATCTCTCCAAAACCCTGTTCTGTCCTGCTCTCCGGCTCTAGCCCCCGACACAAGGCCCGGCGCCGGTGCCTTCCGACAGACCCGGCGAGGACTCCACGGCTGAAGTGCGAGCACACAAAAAGAGCCATGGGTTTGAAGGGAGGGAGGAGCTGGCTTGATTCGCTACAAGCGTAAGATCGACAGGAATTGACTTGCTCCATGAGGGAACTGACGTTCTCAGTGAGCCGCGACGGGAACGAGCCGTGCGGCCCGTCCCGGGCAGAAGAATGGCATAATAATTCGTTTTTCGAGATCTGCGGGACCAGTGCTCGATTTTGCGATTAGGCATGGCGGCAGCCGAAGAAATCCCGGAATGACGCTTTAAGACGGGACAAAACCGCGAATACTGCCTCGGAGAGGTCGGAGTCGCTATCCGATTATACAATACGCGGCGGTTTAATCGACGTATTGCTATGGGAGAATTCACCCCTCGGAATTCAATTTTCGAGACGGTTCCCGATGTAGTTTTCCCTTTCAGCTCACCCGCATCGTTGGGGCCGACCTGCATGCGGACGTGAACTATATCATTGGCTACCACCCTCGCGAAATCTTGAGCTTCGGAGCGATGAATAACTTCGCGACGGGGAGAGGTTCAGCGCCGATTCTGGAGTGAGCTGAGGCGCAGCAACCCGGAAAGATGTCCCGTCGCTTCGAGTTTCAGCTGAATGACAGCCGCCCCACACGGGTTTCCCTCTCGAAGGAGGTCTTGCTCGTCGTCGCATACGATGCCCATCCCAAGGGTGGCGAGAGAGAGAGATGTATCGACGCTAGGATCTCCACCCGCGACCTCACGCTGCACGTGGATTCCCTTTCTGTATCGGGAAGTGCCGCTCCTCTATGGATGCTGTTGTCCCTCTCAAAAATCGATCGTCTGGATTCTCGATCGGGAAGGCAAGGGTCGTGCTCCCGTAATTCTTATTGGCGGGGCTCAAGGAGCCTTAGATGCTTACGATGGCGACTATTACCATCTCTCCTTGAAACATCGGAAAGGATTTGCGCGAATGGCAATGCAGTTCGGATCCGTATTCATGTCCTTCGATTCAAGCCTGGTCTATGTCATCGAGGCTAGTGATCAGGAATCAGGTCCTGATCCTTTCATGAATTGGGGGCGAGACTTTGGCCCTGTTCATGCCCCGGGGAAATCGCCATTCTCACCCTGGTTGAGAGCCCTCGCGGCACGAAGTTCCGTAAGATTTATTTTATTGTTCACTCAAATGCGCGGACCATCACTCACGACGAGCCATGAGTGGCAGACGGTGATCGCCCATTGTCGACGGACCGTGATCGTCTACGGACGAAGTTCCAGGGTACCGCCGAAAACCTTCCGATCGCTCGGGGCTCGACAATCCTTCAGACGAAAATTCTTTCTTCCTCCAAAAAGGTAGGACGACAGCATTGTTCGGAAGCACTCTGAGAACATGGAATTTACAGAGGGAGCTAAACACTTCGATCCCCAGCAGATTCACATGCGTAAGTTGGAGCGAGCTCGATCCATCACTTCTTTCTTGATCTTGGGGTACTCAGGATACAAGGCGAGGACTTGATGACAAACTGAGATTGCGTCGACGAAGCGCTTGCCTTTCAGGTAATTGAAAGCCAGCTTGTAACCTGGAAAGGCATGGAAAGATAAGGATTGTGTTCTCTATCCCTTACCCTATTCACGAGAATTGGACAGGCTCTAGTTCTCACCGATAGTGGGTTTATGGGTGAGCTTCCATGCAGATTCGTAGCAGTTAGCTGCGTCTCGATAGCTCTGCTCTTTCTCCATGATGTAACCCATATATTCGTAGGCTCGGGTGCAGCTCTGAAATCCGAGACAAGCCCAGTCGGCGGATTCTACGAATCAGTGTTCGCGAGGAACGAGATTTGATTGGACGGTCTGCGTCGATTGAGTTCATTCATACCCGATTGTACTGGAGGACCCGTTTGATCAGGTCGCTAGCGTAGTCGTATTTCCCTGAATGAATGTAGACGTCGGCCAGGAGAAGCCAGGCTTTCTCGAGGTATTCCGCATCTCCGAAATTCCACACAGATTTTATGACTCGTTTCAAGTGGTTGCGAGCTTTCGGGACTTGTTTGAGTATCATATGAGCTGTAGAGATCCCAAGGATAGCCCCGACGTGCTCGCGCTGCAATGAGGTCAGAAGTTCCTTTTGGAAAAGAGGTGATCGGCGCGGCGCCCTCGTGGCTTCGAACAGGGTATCAGAGCAGAAGCGTGCAGAAACGAGCAGAATATCTCTTGGGCTAGCTCAAACTCACGTATTTCTCGTCTGATGAGATTTGCAAGAAATCGTTGAGAGCGATTTCCGCATCTTGTTTGTTCTTCTTCGCCAGCAGTACGAAGTTGGACATGATCTGCAGGTCAAGGTCCGACGGCGGCACTTTGGTCCGCAGCTCGGCGAGAAGAGTTTCCGCGGTTTCTATGATGCTCTGGATCTCTCTGGGAATAGATTGTTTCATCGTGCATCATAAATGAATGCACTCGCTCCTGCGGGAAGAACAGCCTGAAGATGAATCTGGCTACGTTTGTATCCACTCACTCGGGTGAGGAAGAGCTGTCGAAGGTCTCTGAGCCCAGAGTGTTATTGTCAGGATTGCAGCATATTTCGATCATATGATACGTTGCGATGACTCCCCATTCAAGATCTCCTCGAGCTTGGTTGAAGTTTTTCATCGCCGCTTGAGTGTTCTCTGGAAAGTCGATCGTCGGTCGAGGACTCACTCCCGGATATAGGGCTCCAGCCGAACCAATGTCCAGTGATTCAGCACGCAGTCTCTCGCTTCGCCTGACCTCAGACACATTTCATGAATTATGGCACCGGAATCGTTATCGGTGCATTCGATCCACTCACCGGTGTACCAGTCGTACAGACCCCTGCAGTAATAGAATCCTGCGGCAGGAACGGTCGGAGGACTATCGAGGAACGGTTTGCATTTGTCTAGACATCCGAGCCGCCTGCAAGCATCGGTTGTTGTCGAAACCTTTCCGTCGATCACGAAACTCCAAAATTCACTCCCCGATGTTGGTGAGAATCGTTATCCGGGGAATTCCCCCCTTTGGAGCTCACCTGCACGCCTCGATTAGCCTCGCCAACGCGGGATAGTATTCCGGTTTTCTCAGGAGCAATTTTTCAAAGTGGATGAGCGAGTTCTCCAGATCGGTCTTCCGGAACATGATGTCGGCCATCATCTGGAATTCGGTTCTTTCCATTCATTTGCGAATCGAGGACAAGCATGATTCAGAGCTTCCATGGAGAAAGATGCGCCTCACAAGGGACATCACCATAAGAGGGAAAACTCACGAGCGTGGCATTATCATTGTCTTTGTCGATTTTCAGTATCTGATTGCAATACTGACGCGCCTGCTCCAAATTGTTCGACGCCATTTCGGCTTTTGCTACTGCTGATAGCGACTGGAATAGAGCGGGGCAAAGTTCACGCACCGTGCCAAAGTCTGGGAATACCTATGTATGTAGTTCGAGTGGGAAGTAGGGACTCTTGATGATTATTATTAAACCTAAGCGACGAGTGATGAATCTTCGAGACTTACATGCAGGTTCGTCTGGTCGTAATGAAGAGCTTGGCGTAGGAACTTCAGAGCCTGCTGATAGTCCTTCTTGCTCTCGGCATGCGCCGCAAGTCGCGAACAGATATGCAGAGCCTGAGTTAGCTGCTCTTGTACGGAGTCGGGCGCTTCCAGATGGACGCGCATCATCACCTGCGGAATTCTCAGCTTTGAAAATCGGGGAGATCGACTGAATCTAGTGGACCCGCTATATGCCGATGTTCCTCGTACCCGGCTCTGGATGTCGTATGCTTTCTGATAAGCCCGGATCGAAGCATCGTTGCCCTTCGCTGGATTGGCATGGTAGTTTTTGGCGAGCAGAACCGTGAATTTCGACTCCCATTGCAGCGATTGGAGATCTGATTGCTGCTTGAGGGGCTCAAAAGTTGCGTTGATGACATCCTCGCTCTCTTTGAACCTAGGTTGCGAAATTCCTATCAATGATCCCTTTGTCGCATGGCTCTCTACGAACGTCGCCATACGGGTGGCATGGGGTTCTGTGCATGAGGAGACCGTGCGATGGAAAGGAGAAGCTTGCTGACTCGATCCTTGATAGAAAACTCTGAAACCTCACCTTTGAAGTCGCAGGAGGAGATGAGCCAGATCGTATCTGAGTAGAGATTCCCCACCGGTCTTTATGGCAGCCTTGTAGAAGGTTATGGCCTTGTCGTAGAAATGGGTTCTCACCAGGAGTTGACCCATTTTCCTACCCACGTTGTAATCTCTCGGGTTTTTCTTCAGTGCGTTCTCGTAGGCTTCGATAGCTCCTTCGTGGTCATGGATCTTCATCAAGGCGTCTCCCAGCATGAGGAAGCAGTCGGCCGTTTGATTCATCTTGGCGATATCCCTGAGAAAATACTCTACTGAGTGAGGACGGAGGCGTCCCCTCTCAGTAAAATTCCAGTGCGCCACCACCGGGGAGCGCGTGAGCAGAGTTCCCGATGTCTAAACTCACCGGTAGCACGTGACGTACAACTTGGTGTCCTTCCGGTATTGGAGATATATGTTCGCCATGCGCTCGCGAGCATCCAAGTAATAGCTCTCTTCTGGTCCTATGGCCTGCAGCAGGGCCAGGGCCTGATCCACGTTGCCCCGGCTGAGAGCCAGTTCCGTTCCAGCGATGCTGACCTGGGGAGAATGCATCGTCCGTTTCCATTCCTCATCAACAAAATGCCAGCGCTCTCGAGACGGTGCTCTGTTCTCGGTTCTATGCAGGACAGAATATACACAAATATTTCTTGAACTCATAATACGGACGGATGATTATCATGTTCCATCGCTGGGCTCACCTTGATCTCTTCCGGAGTACCCTTGAAATGAGCGAGAGCTTCACCCATAATATCTTCCGCTTTCTTCTGGTCACCAAGGAGCCGGTAGCTGTCGGAAAGTTCGAGGAACAGATTCATTCGATCGTTGGTGTTCAAGGTAGCCTTCGCGGATCCCCCGCTGAGCCCAGCAAGGTCCATGGCAGTTTTCAGGCAGGACAAAGCTTCTTGATTCTCATCGAGCTTGCGATGCACCTTGGCCTTTATGAGGTGAAACAATGGCTTGTCCCGGACCTGGTAGAAACAGAGTTCGATAGAGGCACGTGCTTCCGGCAATCAGACTTGAGGACGCCCATAGACGCTCCGCATTCCTTATATCGATCTTTAGAACTCGTAATTCGTACACCAACCTGGAAACTGTTCGACAGAGCCATTTCCAGCGTCTGTTGAGCAGATTGAACCGAATCCTGTTCCAGCTGAACCTGAGCTAGGAGGAGGTAGGTTTCCGTCGAGGTCTGCTGGTTGGCGAGTGTCACTTTATCGAGAAGAGCTGCAAGGATTTTTTCCTTGAGACTTCCTTTTGCCTTCACAGATTTGAATTGTACGTGATTCGGTATCGGCGGATATTTGCATCAATCGATGGGATCAACCTTGGGCAGAAGCTGGATCCCCTGATAGGTATTTGATTCTCGCCATGAGATAATTCGCATCAGTGATAGCCGGGCACATATGGAGAACCGGTTTCAGAGCCGCCTGGCATTTCTTCAGGATCTCAGGCACGGCTTGTCCGGGGCCTTTGATCGGGCGGTCGGACGCGTATTCCAAGTAGAGTCTTATCATCTGCACTACGAAGTCCGGATTCAGCGAGAGCAGATACTCCATACTCTTCGGTTGACCCTCTGTGGTTTGGTAGTGTTTTGTAACCGCTTGTTCGAGGAGTTGAATAGCTCGCTCCGGAGACTTGTGCTGCTTGCTGAGTAGCAAAGCGCTGATGTAGAGCATTTCCTGCAAGACGAAGAGCTGACATGGTTCGGCGACATGGGTCAGCCGATGAGCATACAGAGCTGCGTCGACGAATTAGCAAACGAAACGAGGGAATATCGGGTCGACATGTATGACGAAAAAACAGAGCGGAAACGCACCGGGGTCATTTGCGTTCTGTGCACTTCTTGAATCAAGTCGATCTGCTGCTCAGCGGCGTGGAGACCTTCGTCTCCTTGTGATTGAATTTGAACCAGGATACTAGTCAGGGTAGCTTCCATGTTCTGCCCGTCGGAGCGGAGGGCGGTGGCCAAATGTTTATCGGCATCCTGTTGCGAGGCAAGATTGGGGTTAGAAAACTGCTTGGCCTTCGAGGGGCCTCAATTCTTCGAGCAGGGAATCCTGGTAAAGGGACCGGCGAGTCTCGTCGGGAGCTCACCTTGAAGCGCTTCAGCATGACAAGCACCTTAGCAACCCCCGTTTCGAACGTCGAGTTCTTGGGGCTGAAGGAGGTGGCTTTCTCCATGAGTACCAAACACTGCTCCAGTATCTGTTGTTGTCGGCCGGACTGTGAAAAAAATGTGATTGATGCGCTTCTCAGCGTTTTTCGCAAGCCTGAGATGAGGCCAGAATGACGAAGATCGGAAACGTACGACAACGATAAATATCGAAGCGGTCTCGTAGTACAGCCACGAGTTGCGAGGTTCCACGATGTCGAGAGACGCCAGGACTTCCCGGATCTTGCGCTGTGCTTCTTTGACATTATTCATCTTGCAGAGCAGGTGCACAACTTGGAACCTTTGCGCCTGGACGCAATTCGTGTCCATCGACAGAGCTCTGGAAGATCAGTTTAGTGGTTTCGGGGAATGCTTGTCTGGAGTGAAAAAGATTTCTCCAATGAGCTCGAAACCGTCAGAAGCCGGTGCTCGGAACTTGCCTGTTGGAGGTGTCGACTACCTGTTCCCAGTCTCCCATTGCCATGTGCACTTTCATCTTTTCGAGGATCGATGGTAGATTACCTGGAAACAAGCAAGGACTTCTGTATCCATCTCTCCTACACCTTTTCGATTCTGACCCCGCGAACGGAAACAAGCAGGCTCACGAGGAAACCACGGATTACCTGGGAAAGAAACTACGCCTTGGTTGACAACATCCAGTGCTTTGTGTAGATCTCCCGCTCTTTTGAGGGCTTCTGCTTTTCCGAAAATAGCCTCGGGATTCCCGCTCCCGGAAGATTCGAAATACTGAGACACGTTCGTTTTAGCTTGCCGCAGGAGCTCCAGCCATCCCTTCAAAACAAGACCTGTGGAAAACGGCAGGGATCAAAGCATGTGATTCCTCATCCGAGCATTCAATTCCGAAGTGAGTGCAAGGTATCGCTTTTCTGCCTCGCCTTCCTTCGACGGCGGCGCAAGCTTCAGCATACGATCCACCAACTCTTTGGCGGTCTCGAGATCGCCAACGAGGTAATGGTATAAACCGGCATAGTAGAACAGTTTGTCGTTTCGGTCTTCGCGCAGATTTCGGATCGTCAACTCTAGATTGGCGGTCGCTTCAAAGTCTGTGAAGGGCGAGATTTTAGCAATGGGTCGCATGGTCCTCGAGTTGAAGATCTCATGTATGAATTCATGTAAGTCGAAAAGACAAATCGCATCCTCAACAGGCAGGACGGTGAAGCTCACCGACGTTATTGAAGCTCTGATGTGTTCTGAGAAGCGCGTAGCTCACTCCCAGAGCAAAATCCGCCTCATTCTTCAGTTCTTCGAGCTGACGGAGAGCCTCCTGTGATGAGCGAACACGTTTTTGAAACAAGAACAAAATGATGGAAGGCCCTCGATGAGAAAATATCTGATATGATGATATATATAGCCGGAAACGATCCGGCGATTACCGAAGCTACCTGGGGATTGTTCTGCAGTTGCAGGCATATGCTGTAGTAGAACCGGAATAGAGGCTTGCCGCTGAACCGCCTCATGGCTTGTGCGGAAAAATTTTGAGCTGTGTTCCATAGCTTTTCCCTGATGTAGTAGTCGATCTTTGCCTGGAAGCCCGGCGTTATTCCCGCACGACAAGTAGAAAAATCCAGCGGTTTTGGGAATGAATCCCTCGGATGCAGAGCCTGTGGCAGAGATCTTGTTCGCATGCGACTCGACATTGAGCGAGGGTATATCTTATCTGCCTACCTTTTGCAGCACTTCCGGGTCCCCCATAGCGGCAGTTTCCTTTTCTCGAATCTTGCCAGCGAAGCAAACGGTGTCACGGAGCACAATACACCGAGAGTCGCGTCGCCTTGGTAACCGATTGAGTACCGAGCTCGGGTCTCGAGGGGAGGCTCTCAACGCAGAAGAGATAATCTTCAGAAGCCTCAATCGTTCACGGATATCGTCCTTCCCCAGGAAATACCATCCGATATATCGACATGACTACCCCGATAAAGGCAACTGAGAGTCTTCATCAGCGGGCCCGTGCAAGTGATGACACTACCTTTCTCCGATAAGGCACCAAATATTTGGCCCCGTGAGGACTCCTGACGCTCTCTCGGTGATGCCTGACTTATCAATCTTCGTCCCCTAGCCTTCACGAGCAGCATTACTTGATCTGACAAACAAGTCGTTCGCGGGAACTACTGGGGTACAGCTCATTAGGTGTTCCGAGGGAGTTGATTCAGTGCTCACGGAAGAGGATGCGAGATCGTCGCGCGTTCAGACTGCTTCTTATATCCCTAGAGCTCGTAAAACCATAATAAGACAATCATACGAATACTTTCATTCAATCGCGACGAGAGTCATCAGCGAGGCTTCCTGAGCAGGAGCCTCTACTTCATTTTAGTCAGTGATAAAATAAAATTGAAGGACAGTCCTCTGCTCGCGGAGCGGAAATATGGAGCTCATCCGCGCGAATGGGAAGCTTACTCCTGAGCGTCGCGACGGAGGACTATCGGGCATATTTTGCTGAGAAGATCATCTGAAATTACTCTCCCCCGGAGAGTTTCGGTCATGAGATCCGACCGTAGAGCGAGCAAGATAATATCGGTGGAGGACTGTCTGTCTATACTTCCGCGGTCACTATTCCGATGATCGAGGGGATATTCAGAAATCGAGATAGGAGGTCCGCCTACGTACGAGAGATACGAGAAACACATGACGGCGTCGCTCCTGTTGCCTCGTGATTCAAGAATCGGTTGAGCGAAATGGAGGGACCACGCGGATCACGAATCTCGCGAGGATAGCCGATATGCAGGGCCTGGAGGTCTATGCATGGAAGGAGTCCACAAGCTCAATTATCATGCCGTGACTTCAGATATGTGTGGCATGACTAGATGCATGAAGATTAAGCATGCTTGCAGAACAGGAGGTCTATTGTCAACAATCATCTTGTTCTTCCAACAAAATTGAGCAAAATTCGCTCTCGAGTCTCGGACTCAAGACTCAACAGTCAGGGTGACGAACGCTCACGGTTGCAATGACCTAGCCGACTTCGTTGCATTTTGAGCTTTCGCAGCAGATGGCCATTCCGAGGGCAATATTCATTCATCGACTCGGCCCGTCGGCTCATCCTTTCTCGTCTGCCCTCGGCTGCCGCAGAGTCATGCTCGAGAAACCCAGTCCCTCCGTCCTGCGGGAATAGTTCGCGCCAAACCATTTGTGGATCCCGGAGTTTATTCCTCGAAATCTCGAGCGATTTGGCATCATTTAAAGCCTGCGAGAGAATGATTCCCACGATCTTCGCTACCTTCCAAGACTTCCAGACATCTGTGCATTTGGAGGTCTGAATTTCGCATCGGATTTTCTTCGGAAGTGCTGTGACGTCGTTCACCGCATCTCACTCCTGAATCCTAAAGCCTGGGCGTCAATTTCACAAGCAGCGGATTGAGATGCCCCAAGCATGAGGCTTGAGAGGAGTCGCTGATTTCCGAATGCAAAGTGAGGATCGTAGCTCCCATCGAGCCGAACGCGTGATCCGCTCCGTGTGCTTCGCAAAGAATTCTCTTGTTTTACTAGACGGCCCGTAGGGCCACGCTGAAATTCCTTTGAATTCCCGCTACCGGGATATCATTGTGACACTTGGTTTTTGCGCTGGACCACCCACCGGGCTGAGAATACGTCTGTGACTTGCATGCGAGTTGCGATGGTTCCGCAGATTGCGACGCGTGAAGCTCCCGGCGCGGCGTGTTGGACACATCGTCAAGTTTGCCCCTAAAAATTTTTGATGCTCCATTTATCGCCAAGCGGCATGCTCTTACATAAGTGATCCCGTGGACTGGAGAGCCTCAGCTGATTTCATTGAATGGGACGCACAGTGTCATATTTCCTGGACGAAAAATCTAGTCTCAGGGGATGGGTTACATTCGCAGTGAGTGAAGTTTTGAGCATCGGGATTTCCAAGAAACTTGGTAGGAAGCGGCGCCTACGGGTCCCGAACGGAGGAGAATCTATCCATCAATGTCCTCTTTCAGAAAGCCGCTATGAGCAGACAGCAGAATGAACCGCAGTCAGAGTCGTTCATCCCTTAGCGGAATACGTCCGCCAACGACAAGTCAATTGCCTCGACTAGCTGCCGTCAAGCGGCCCGCGCAAGATTATAGAGGCAGATGTCCTGTTGCCCAATTTCTTTGGATGAGCCGCGGCTGGATCATCCAATGTCCCTCCCGTGAGCTGGGATGACGGAAGCGCTTGATCGGGTCATCCGATTAGAAGCCCCTACGACCACGAACATAACGACTATTCACAATGACTACCGTACGGTAATCGACCGCGATTGTCAGGTCCTTTGAGCCCTATTCCGATTTTTCATCAAACTCCCGTTCCGGCGGACATGCTTTGTATAAACGTGATCCTATCCTAGATAATTTCTACCCCGACGTTCCCATACCTCTCCTGGCCGATCGCAATGGAGGGACGACGTTCACGTGACATGCACGAGATATCATTATGGAGGAGAGCGGCAGCAAATCTTTCCTACGAAGCTGCTATCGGCCAAGGATATCTCCAGCCGGTTCCTGACCTCTGGGTGAGCCGCCTTCTAGAAGATCTCGACTGTCTCGGGATTACTGTAGCGTGACCGACCAGATTTCACCACCGAGATTTTCAGAAGAATTCGGAAGCCTCCCTGCGATCATTGGACCGTACTCGCGGTTGGGAACGATCAGAACTTCCGCTATCGAAAGGTCGAGGCTATCTACCGTATCGTCATATAAGAAGTGCCCCTGACGTCCCGAGGATATGAGCTCCGTCTGACTGAGGCCGAGAAATCGCTCGGATAATCCCGTGTTTTCGCAACGAGACGTCGCTGCATGCATTCCGAAACGATCGTGACCACCGAATCCGAGCGTTCTAGCGTCTCATCCTGCCGTTTGCTTTTCAGTGACTCGCTCATTGGCATCAGCTCGTACACACAACGCATAAGACAATGCGTCATGTTCTGGAACGCATCGACCGCTCGATCAAGCGACCGTCATGCAGGAGCCTGAGTTTGGTCGAAGATGCTGCGATCCGGCATTATTGTTTCCGCGGTGATTCAACTTTCGTCCACAGAGCGCTTTCTCCAGAAGAGAATGACGTCAGGATCGGCATGAGTAAGCTTTGCTCAGGGGCCTATTTCGTGGAACTGTGTTCTTGCCCCGATGTGGAATAAAGCCAGAGATGGAAAAATCACGCATAATGCTTAAGGTCATGGCAAGCGTTCCCCGTACGACCAATATTCATGTTTGTCTTATTCTCCATCATTGGAGGTTTGTTTGTGCAGGAAGGACGCTACTTTTTCCAGCCCCACAATCGAGCACAAAAAGACGACCACATACACGTCATACGGTCTCGCGACAGAATTTCGTTCATGGTGAGAAGTCGAAACTGGCAAACACGGACCCTTATTTCCCGCATACCGAGGAGAGAAAGTCGATCATCCTAAATGTTGCTGACGGCACCAGATGTAAATCTTTACTCCGAATTGAATGAAGGCAAGCGCAGGGCAGCGGGGAAACGAATTCCTCCGACGGAATAACATCGCGGACAGCCTCTTGTTCTGGGTCTGGCGTCATCATCAGCGTATCTGATGGCTATTTGCTGTATTGTGCGTGTTGGAGTCAATGCGTGAACGCGCCATCGTGTGCCGTTTCCGCTAAGACTATTCCCCCCCCCCTCTCAGATTGTCGATGTTCTGCTCCCGATAGTCAAGACATGCACTCGTCTCGCGACCCCGGTCTCACTTTCACGAGAAACGGGAAGAATCAAGCCTTCCGTTAACGCTAAGGATCCGCGCGGAAACAAAACAGCCTTGAATTGTCCGTCGGTCGGCAGCCCGATCAGCGGGCCTTCTGTCTGGTGGGTAAGACGGCCATTCGTCGTCCGCGTGTGATTGTTCGCATTCAAAATGGTATAATTCAGCAGCCTGCGAGAGAAAGAAACGCGAGCAGAAAACCAGAGTCGACCGACTCGCTAAATAGGGCCCATACGACAGCAGGTCCGACTTCGTTAAGGAAGCCGACCGAAGAACCAAAGGGACGCGTGCACCGACGGCAACGCAGGCAAGCGAGCACACAGGCATCCGTCATAGCCGTTCAGTATCCCATACAATGGAAGGTCCGCTGAAAAACGTCGACGGTCAGGAAGGCTTTCCAGCTGTACGGCAGCAGCAGCGGCAGCGGAACGGCCGAAAGTAGATTAGCCAATTCCCTCCGGTGACTTTCAAGTTGAAAGAGTGAGCGGAGCGGACCGAAAATCGGTTGTGATCGACGAAAAGTTCCGTCGCGCATACATAACCATAAACACGGTCGAGCGAGGAAGACGACTTGAGGAAGAAAAATAAAGAAGGCATTTCTCGCTACACAAACGACATTCGGGAGATTTGAGCCGATTCCGGTTCGATCTGAGAATCGTTTCCCCTTTTGTTTTTCTTTGTTCCGAACTGAATCCGTCACCAGGTAACCATTTTATACATTAGGAATTCTCCGCCGGGCGAACATATCACAACGATTTCCTGCTCTCATCCGATCGCCGAACGTGAGTCCTCCGCGTCCGCGGCTATCTGATAAATTCTCCGGGTTCGAAGGTAGCACTGGCCTAGTCCGAATTTTTGACTTCCGAATAAAATAGCTCGCTAATATCTTGGGGAAGGTGGACAAAGCACCCGGTTTTTGAAGGCTCCGTGACTTTAATAGCTCTCCCTGCGATTGCCTCCTCCTGTCTTCCCTAGTACGCGAAACCCGTGGGAT